AAATGATCTCCTTCAAGAAGATCTCAGTGATTGATTTGCCAGCTGTTGGGGCTACTGTCAGAAGCTGTTCAAGGGGAAAGTTAGGACACTTGATGCTCAGTCAAAACACAACTGATGTATGAATTCCAGATGATGAAGAGCTGTTTTACTGGAGTGACAATATATCAGAAAGGCAGACCACAAAGTTTTCTGATGAAAAAAGCAGACACTGCACACATTTCTAATGAAAAAAGCGAATACTGCAGAGTTTTCTAATGAAAAAAGGGGATACTACACAGAATTGTAATGAAAAAAGCGGACACTACACAATCTTCTAATGAATAAAGTGAACACTACAAAGTGTTGTAATGAAAAAAGCAGACACTACACAATTTTCTAATCATCAAAGCGGACACTACAAAGTGTTTTAATGAAAAAATCGGACACTACACAATTTTCTAATGAATAAAGCGGACACAACAAAGTGTTTTATGAAAAAAGCGGACACTACAAGGTGTTTTAATGAAAAAAGCGGACACAACACAATTTTCTAATGAATAAAGCGGACACTACACAGTGTTGTAATGAAAAAAGCGAACACTACACAATTTTCTAATGAACAAAGCGGACACTACAAAGTGTTTTAATGAAAAAAGCGGACATTACACAGTGTTTTAATGAAAAGAGCGGACATTACACAGTGTTGTCATGAAAAAAAGCGGACACTACACAATTTTCTAATCAATAAAGCGGACACTACAAAGTGTTGTAATGAAAAAAGCGGACACTACACAATTTTCTAATCAATAAAGCGGACACTACACAATTTTGTAATCATCAAAGCGGACACTACAAAGTGTTGTAATGAAAAAAGCAGACACTACAAACCAAAGTGTGGGAAATAATTCCCCACCCAAATGCGCAGTGTGCCTGACATCAGGTGTGTCAGAAAAAAGTGTAACGCTTTTCTTAATTAGGAAATGGCCCAATTAGGAAATAGTGCGCACATCATCATTAACAATGACCACACCATGCTAGCCATTAACTCTTCTGGCCCAAGAAGTGTGGGAAACAGTTCCCAACCTAAATGTGCACTGTGCCTGACATCAGGTCTGTCAGAAAAAAGTGTAATGCTT